TTTAGGGGTGACCCCCTAGACCCGAAACCCTATACCCCTAGACCCTAAACCACAAAACCCTAAACTCCTAAACCCTAAACTCTAGGGTTTAGGGTTTTAGGGTTTAGGGTTTAGGTTTAGGGTTTTAGCGTTCATGGGAACATCGGGGTTTTAGGGTTTTTAAAGGGTTCAATTAGGGCTTTAGGGTTTCAGGGCTCCTTTAAAGGGATCATCGGAACTCAGAGACTCCAATACCCCGTTATTAAGGAAGATACCTTAAATTATAGCAGGATCCCTAATTAATATGATTTAAGGTATATTCCCTAAACCCTAAACCCTAAACCCTAAAACCCTAAACCCTAAACCTTAATTAAGGGATATTGGAGTCTCTGGGAACTCGGGGTTCAGGGCCATCAGGGCTTAGGGTTCTTAGGGTTTGGGGCTTTTAGGGTTTAGGTGGCTAAGGGTTTAGGGTTTTTCGGTATAGGGTTATAGGGTTTAGGGTTTAGGGTTTAGGGTCGGGGTTTAGGGTCTTTAGGGTTAAGAGTTTAGGGTCTCAGGGTTAGGGTTTCGGGGATTAGGGTTAAATGTTCTAGTTCAAACTGATGGCCTTCTTGGATTTCTCTGCTCTTGGCCGTTCAAGAGGCTTCAAGCCCTAAACCCTTAACTTAAGCCCCGAAACCCTTGATCCTTAAACCCTCAACATCTAAAATCCTCCGGTCTGGACCTTGAACCCTGAACTCTAAGCCAAACCCTTAAGCCCCTGAGCCCTAAATCCTTCATTCCTCTACCCTACACCTCAACCCTAAACCCTAAATGCCTAAATCCTCGACCCTCAACCCTGAACCTTTTTTAGGAGCGACCGGATACCCCGAGGGGCAGGGTCCCGGCCTTGGCGGGAGGGTTGCTGCCTTCCTTCTCTCTGGGGCAGACATGGGATGCTACGTCAAAGGTGCATAAAGGGCATCCCTGTTTGGGGTATACGGTTTAGGGTACCCTAAACCCTAAAGCCTTTATGGTAAAAGGTGGCTGACTACATCAAGGGAGCATGACAGACATTTTTGATTTACGTCCTGGGACTGTTGCTTCACTTTCCTTCGGTCGTTTCCCACAAATCCGACATGGGATCCTGGGGGCTCTGTTAAGGTTTTTTATAGGGGCTACTGAGGGTGGCCTGGAGAGTGCTGCCCTAAACCCTAAACCCTAAACCCTAAACCCTACTGGGGTTTACTCTGTCCCCGGGGGCCCTGAGGTTTTGCCGCTGCACGGTGCCGCGCTGCATGGCCGGGTGAGCTCGTAGGACTGGTGACGACCGTAGCCTTTGCCTGCGCCAAGCCGGAAGAGCCATTAGACGAGCCTACGGTATGCGATGTTGTATTGCAGTGCAGTGATGAGAGTATAGTGTGAATAGTAGAGTCTCGTGTCGTATCGTACCGTATCGTCAAGTAGTATAGTATAGTATGGTGTAGTATAGTATAGTAGAGTATAGTATAGTATCGTATAGTATAGTATAGTATAGTATAGTATAGTATAGTATGGTAATGTATAGTATAGTACAGTATAGTATAGTATAGTATAGTATAGTATGGTAAAAGTATAGTATAGTATAGTCTAGTCGAGTATAGTATAGTATAATATAGTATGCTATACGTAGGTTGTGGTGTGAAGTGCTGAAGGTTGCGCCAGTCGGTGGCTCTTCGCAGGCTCTTTACGTGTCAGGCAGAAGCTGCTGACGCCGCATGTAGATCCATCTCTTCTCTGCTACCTGTAGGCTCATACCCTACCCCTCTGTCAGGGTAGCTGTAGTGCTTTAGTTGGGATCTGTTATATCGACAAATAGGTAACCTAGAAAAGGGGTAGGGCAAAGCCCTGTGGGCTTTAGGATTTCGGGGTTGAGGGCTTCTTCGGCTTTTGCGGGTTTAAGGTTCTAAGGTCCGGGAATCTCGACACCGTCGATACCCCATCACTCGTCCTGGCTGGGAAGACGATGGTGCTTGGTGCGCGGCCACGGTCGCTTTGCAGAGGATTCGTGCTGCCTAATTTTCTCTATAACAGATCCTACCCAAAGAACTAGGTCAACTAGGTAGCCTAAACGGGATAGGGTATGAGCCTATGTATATATATATACATACATATATATTATAATTATATATATATATACAT